CCACCCTCTAAATATCAGTGGAGAAAACATCTATCCTCAGGTGGGGATTAACAAGAACAGAAAGCGATGGACATGACTAGTGGAGGCGCGCGTAGGCCCAGGTCTTAGGGGCCTTTAGGTTGAGATCCTGCAGAAGGAACAAGCTGGGCCGTGCGCGCCACGGCGTTAGGGGACTGCGGCCCTCGGGGGCAGGAACCTTAACTGGTTTGTCATTGACGTGTTGCCGGTGCCTACACGTGTCCCTGGCAATTAGTGAGTACTCAGTAATTTATTAAGAAAGGGAATCGGAGTGAGCTCAATAAAAAAGAGGGCTGAGTGACAAGGAGAACATTGTAGGCGGAGGAAACTGTGTTGCCCAGACCGACAGATAATACACGTCGCGCACCTTCAACCTGGCACGTGAAAACGACGTCCCTTAGATTGTAGGGGCTTTTCCCCGACAAAAGGACTCGGGAACAAGAATTTGGGGAAAGCGATAGGAGTTTTGGCTTTATTAAAATCCATGACCTACTCAGGTAAGCAAACGGAAAAAAAATTGTACGCCCTCATAGTATTGTCCACACTGTAGTTAACCTTTCAAACATTTACTTCTAGATCATCATAGTTTCTAAAGTCTCACAAATTTTAAATTAGTGGAGTTTGAGTTGATTAGGTTTTGTTACCAAGATATGTTATCCAAGTTCTAATTTCTGTCTCTAACACATAGAAGTTTCATCATTTTTATCATTCAGACGCAGTACAATTATGAATTAAAGCCACACCCTTAAAAATAAAGTAAAATAAAATTGCCACCTTTCATAGTGCAGCTGTGCTGTATTTGTAAATGTTATTTTATCATTGTTATTATTAATATTGTTATTTGGAAGGAAGGTATTATTTCTTTGTCCTTTGGGCTGAAGGGGGACAAACCCCCGCAATTATTAGAATGCCTGTTGCTTCTGCCATTTCTAGCAGTAACCAGCAGGTGGTATCAAAAAGTTTCCCATTTCTGTTCTGTTGCAGTGTTTGTGTCTGTCTGAGACTGCTCCTTCCTAACCTGCACCCCACACCCCAGTCACAGATATTCCCACACAGCATTTCATGGGGATAAAGGACTAAAGGAGGATTTTATTATTATTATTTTAATTTAAATCTGTTTTGACTTTGCTTTCAGGGTGATATTTTTTTCTCGCACATGCACTGAGGGTTTTTTTCAAAATAGAGACACTGTTTTATATGCAGTAACTCATTGTTGCTCTAACACCACCGTGGAAATCACTATTCATAATCCCCACTTTACAAACGAGGAAACTGGTGCAAAGAGGCTGGGGAATTTCCCAAGTTCACAAAATTAGAACTCGGGTGTCTGGCCGTGGTGTCCACAGTGTGTCTCTGTGCTGAAATTACTTCCCCTCATCTGATTTTCATCCAACACCTGTCATTCCTTTACTTTGACACTATTTGTTCGGCTACCATGAGTTGAGGTTTTTGCCACCTACACCTTGAAATAAGAAACACTACATAGAATAACACCAGAATATAAAAGAGCTACGTGTTAGATATTGTCCGTGCATGGGGAATGGCTGCATATGTGCAGATTATTTTAGTGCTAAAAGGATTTTTAGATTCTTTCCTTTTATTTAACTGAAAAAGAGACTTAAGCCTCCCGAAAAAGCACTGAGTTATAGCAGTCCCACAGAGGCGGTAAGGGAAGAAACACCCTGTTAAAGAAATGCTTGGGGAATATACGTGATGGAGGCCCTTCCAGGTATAGGAAAGTGCCCTTTGCTGAAAGTGCCCGCTGGTGGGAGACGGGCATGCTCAGGGTTTGTGAGCTTTGCGGGTAAATGCGCCTCCCTAGCTAACGCCCGGCCCCATCTGCAGTGCAGTGGGGCGAGGCCCGCTGAGCCCGCAGTCGGAAGGGCTGGCCTCTAGCTTACCTTTCCAATGGGAAGGGGAAAGAATTTATAGTCAGTGTTAACAATTTCATTGTCCAGTTTCTAAAATCAAGTAAAAAATGTATAAAAGTTAAAGATGGGGAAGATTGGAGACTCATACTGAAAGTGTTGTGATGTTTTATTAGCTTAAATGACCACCAACGGTGCACGAGGGGAGCTAGGTTATTTTTTCAACCAAAAGAAACAAAATAGTCTTTCAATGTAGTGATTTACAATTTAGAAGGTTTTGCTTTAGTTGTTTTATTTTCCATAGATTTTAAAATTCATTATGAGGGAAATTATGTCCTTATGATGCTAAGCAACCAAGAATTACCTTCATACTTGGAATGAAGTTCTTAATTGTAGTCCTGTTGGAACCATTGGTGCGGTGGATTGGTCCATTGCCTACCATGATTCAAATAAATGATCAACAAATTAATGTGGGACTTTATGTGGGATTAAAAAAAATAATGTTAATGGGCAATAGGTCAATTTAAAGTGCAGACTTTTCCTCCTAGGAAATTCTACTTCAGTCTCTCCAGTCTTTTTACCCTCAACTGTACTGAAGAAGCAAATAGAGGGACTCATACAACCAAAATAAAAACTGGAAGCATTTCAGGGTCATCTCTTCCAGTAGTTTTCTGTCGTTGTTGTTTGTTTTATTTTATTTTATATTTTTTGGTGGAAAAACGTGGCCCTGAAATTTGCTTCTGAAAATAACAACTACTAATTCCAATGCTGTCCTGCTGGGATCTGTTGATGTTTTTGGTTCCTGTTTGTTCTTCCGCAGGTGTAACGACTGTTCTAACAATGACAACTCTAAGCATCAGTGCTCGGAATTCTCTCCCCAAAGTGGCTTACGCAACTGCTATGGATTGGTTTATTGCAGTTTGTTACGCATTTGTGTTCTCTGCCCTAATTGAGTTTGCAACTGTTAATTACTTCACCAAAAGAGGATGGGCTTGGGATGGGAAGAGTGTAGTGAATGACAAGGTAAGTGAGAACTTCCTTCTCACCATGATTAAGAGAACCCCTGGAAGGTATAGCTTATATGTATGAGTCATACAGGTTTCTTTTAAAGTGTGCTCTTGCCTGAAACCCTTTAGGGGTGTTTCTAGTCATGAGACTTCTGTTAGAACCTTTCCCTAGCATCTGGTGAGCTCTGACTCTGTGTCAGGAACTGTGCTGTGTTTTTTACATATGCTCTGTCATATAATCTTCATATCAACTTTATAAATAGTCTATTTTTAATTCTTTCTTCTTTTTCTGATGAAGAAGCTGGGGCTTAGTGAAGTTACATACTTGCCAGAGCTCACACAAATAGGTAATAAGTGTACTTGAACCCAAATCTGTCTGCTCATTAAGTTCACTCTTAACACCACACTGGTTCATGATAAAGAGATTTGGAAAGAAAAGGAGGTGTTACCTTTACCTGCTATCGAATTTCAGACCTTGTCAGTACTACTCTGCACCTACCCCTATCTCTGTTGCTTGGATGTAAAAGTCTACACATCATTGTTATCTTGCCCAGGTTGTATGAAATAAGTGGGCAGGTGCTGGAATAACTAGAAATTTTAAGTTGCTCATGTAGTCCATAAGGGGAAAGTTACTTATTTTGAAGGTGAACTTCTTTGGGGATTGTTGCTGTCCATTTTTAGGTTTCTAGTACGGAAGCTAGCGGGAGTTTTGTGCATTGATATACTAGCTGATTCCTTTCTTATTCTACAGATGATTATTCATCTGCCTCAAGAGCAGGCTTTGGTTATACCACAATGAGATACAAAGTTTTCTTAATAAGCGTAAAAAGTTCTACTTGGAGGATTTCTTTTAGCAATATATCTACTTAAGGGTTCTATTACATTTGAAATAACATACTTGCTGATTTCATTTCTTTTTCAGTTATTTCAATATAAATGTTTCCTCATTTCTATGACCATATTGCAGTTTAAGCATACAAACATGTTATAGTTTGAATCCTGCCATTTTACCTTAATTTTGTACACTGTTGAAGTTTTGATGAGTTCTGGTTTATTTCATTTTATAAGCTGTGTTTTGGATACTAATGGCCATTGAGTAAATATTAAAGGAAATTAATTTTCTGTTTAACCTCCATGTTATTTCAGCATTTCTATTATATTTTATTATTGATTTATGTTTTCATACCCCATGTAGCATACTGCTTTTTCATTGTTATCTATGAAATTACTTTTTAGTTATATTAGTTATACATAGTTAGCACTTTCATACTAACATATTTTTGAAGATAAAATGCTAGTTAGTTCTTTGGGAGTATGTCACAAATGATAAATAGTCATTTGTGGTATAAATGCCCCATATAGAAATGTATTGGCATATATATTTTAATGCTATGAGAGTGCCAATCAAATTGACATTGTGATTTGGCATATCAAGTAATATGCCTTCTGAACCCTTGAACTTGGAAAAGAGAAGTACCTATAAATGCAAAAAACACATTGTTGATAATACATTTTAAAAGCAACGACCAACTATGAATAGCGGATTTAAGTCTTCGCACATATCAAATCACACATAGTGAAGACAAATCTATGTTGAAATCATTGATGTTACAACCTAATATGCAGGAAAACAACTAATAAAGTTTATATTATTTCAGTCCTCAGTGGTTCAGGTTTAGTGGTTAAGTTAAAGGGAACATCGCATCAGGCACATTGTTTGTTTTTATTTACTCATTTATAGCTAGAGTGCCAAGCACAGTGCCAGGTACTTCAGATACTCCTGTTGAATAAAAAAATAAATGAGTTTTTGGTATTAAATATGGCCATGTAATATCAATGAGAAGACTTCTTTTCCTTCATGGAAAAGTTTTAAAACTTTACAATGGTGAATTTATTAATGGGTACTCAGTCCAATTTCATGATTCAAATGAATTTTGGGAGATATTTCCTAAAACCTACCTTGGAAATAACCAAGTCCTTAAACCTGGAGGGAAATCAAGTTAGAGTAGCCTAAACTAGCCCATCTGCCTAAAAACAATATATTTCAGTGCATTTAATCTGCTTTAGTTTTCCTTAGATTTAATTTTTAAGTAGAAAATAATAATATTCTGGAAATAAAGTTTTAAGCCACAGGTCATATTGTTGTCCTTTTATTCTAATCAGTCTGGTGGAAGTCCTCGGCTTTAGTAAACATGAGCAAATGCAGTTCAAGTACCTGTCAACCCAGAGTGAATATGAAAACTTCTTGAAAATTTGTTAACTGGCAAGTATTAATTTGCCTCATGAGAATAATCACTGATACATACATATCAATGTTATATGTTTAAAAGAAGAAATATGTATTTAACATAGTTCCCATGTAGATTGTGCTCTGTTGATTTTTAAAGTGAAATAAATAAGTCTCCTGAATTCGTATTCATGTTACATTTGAGCGCTGTGTTAGAAGACAAAACCTCCCTCCCTCTGTGATCTCGGTCAAAATTGTACATCACCTGTAGCCTCAGGTGTAAAATTAGACAACAAAACCTTATCATTCTAAAAATGTAATGCTGGATCAAATGACCCAACTCCAAATGTTTAAGTCCTTCCATATACAAAATTATCTATTTATGCAACCCTCTGAGTTCTTCTGGAACCTTCCCCGTGCCCAGTGTTCTTGCCCAGAGGCGAATTCTTCCACCCCAGGGCTTGTCCCCTTTACTTCCTGTTCCTTTCTCAACATTGATCCATTGGTTATGATTTTCTTTCCCTGTTTATTCAAAACCATATTTTCTTTCTCAGATGCTTCTTTCCTTTCAGTTTATGAAGATGTTTACTATGCTTAATTTACCATAAAGACACAAAGAAAACTCTCTCCAGGTCTTATGTTACCAGTTCCCATATCCTCAGTTTCTACCCTCTTTTTCTCCACTTGAGCTTTTTTAAAACATTGCTTACAGTGCTATGTTCTCATTTTCAATTTAATTTTCAAGCTACTGTAATCTGATTTCCTTTCTATTTATTGTTCTGTAACTGAAGGGGACCAATAGCCTCCACATTTTCAGATTGGATAATAATTTTCCGTTTTTCTCAACGGATCCCCACTGAACCCATTGAGTTCTATTATACTCCAGAACTCCATTCCAGGCCCATCAGCAACAGTTTCTCTTCTTTTCCTCTTTAAAACCAGTCTTGGAATATCAACTTCCTTTCCTCAAAATTTGGCCTCTGCCACTATTTATTCTATTCTTCGAGATTCTCTGCCTGAGGTCAGCAGGGATCCAGTCTCCCTAGCACCTGCTCCTGTTTATCTCCAGACAGTCTCTTGGCTTTATGTTGTTTATGTTGTTTTAGATTTTACTATTCACCATGTGTCCCACTTTAAAGGTTTTACTGACAATATTTGTAGAAATGTGTGCCGCCCTAAGCACAATGTCCTGCCATTTGCTGTCCCCAAACAGATAATCCCTCCTCATCGCCAGCACAAATGGCAGTCCTCAGGAAGCTCCCCCTCCAAATAATTAGATCCCTGGAGTGTGTCTGGTACCCTCTCCTTTTGCATTAGAGCCTTTATCACATCACAATTGTAATTGCCTATTCATGTCTCAACTCCTTCACTGACCATGATAACAATGACCATGCTTATTTTACTGTATCATTCATTCCTGTCCTTTTGCGCAGGACTTTGTGTATATTTGTTGCTCAATAAATATGGTATGGATTAATAAAATAGACAAATCAAATTTACAACCCACGCCTTTCTCTCACCTGCCGCAGTGATCGTCTACAAGTGTCGCCCAGACCTTCCTTTTAACATCCAGGATCATATACCCGACCCGTTCCCTAAGCACTTATCCTTGAATCTAACATCTCAGTCTTCACATATCTTTTTACAATGAAAGAAACAACAAACAAAAATAAGTAAAAAGTAAATAAATAAATGCTCTAAATTGATTTAGTTATCTTTCCCCTGCCCACGCCTGTTTTTCATCTGTACCTCAGTTCATGGCAAAACCTAATATCACATTCCAACAACTTGGAAGTATCCCTCAAGATCTAACCAATCATTAAGTGGTGTCCATTTTTTGACCCATGTGTGATAGACTGTGCCCCTCTCATTTTCCTGAGTATCTTTACTTCTCACTATCTCTAATCATGTCTCTTTCAAATCCATCTTCTAAATTCATTACAGAATTATCTTTCTAAAACAGAAACCTAACCTTTTAGTTTCTCAGCTTTTAAATAAATAGTCGAAGGCAATTCTTTAAGCAGCTCAGCTGATATGGCCCAAGTATATATTCTTCTCACCTATTTATTTATATGATGAATAATAGAACTAATTTTTGTTCTGTATTGTGCACTTACTTCTCTGTCCCTGGGAATATGTCCATTTTGGAAATGAGGACATCTGGGATTGGCCAAGTAAGTTCCTTGGTTACTTGCTTAGGCTCACATATCGAGTACATGGTGGACTCAATATTAAATATAGATCTAAAATCCATGCTCGTATTCTCCCTCCAGCCATTACACACGTCCCCAGACATCACGCTTCCACACATCTCCAGGACTTTGGATGTGCTGATCCCTTTTGCTGAAATTCCCTTGCCTCCTTTCCTCAACTGATGAACTCTTACCTATTTCATAAGATCCATCTGATTTTACTTACATCTTGAAACTTTCCAAACAAATCTAATCACCAAGATGCTTCTGCAGAACCTGGCACAAATTCTTTTAAGTAACCTCATTAAATTACATGTTTATTATAAAGAAATCTGTTTCTAGCCTGGCCGGGCGTGGCTCAGCGGTTGAGCATCAACCTGGGATCCTAAGCGATTGGGGTTCGATTCCCGGTCAGGGCACATGCCCAGGTCGTGGGCTCGATCAATGACTCTCTCATCATTGATGTTTCTATCTCTCCCTCTCCCTCTCCTTTCCTCTCTCTGAAATCAATAAAGATATATTTTAAAAAAAAGAAAAAAAGAAATCTGTTTCTAGCATCAGATTACATGCTCTAAGAGGATAATAGTTTTGTTTCAT